GGAGGGCAGGGGAATGGGGAAAAAATAAGAACCAAGAGGGCTGGGGATTTAGCTCAGTGGTTCTGCTGCCTGCCTCACAAGCACAAGGACCCGAGTTCAATCCTCGGTGCCAAAAAAAAAAAAACAAAACCAAGAGAGATTATGTAAAGGTGCAAATTTCCAATGATGAATGTCATTATATTGTATTCCTAAAATGTACCAATAAAAGAAAAGATCAAAGATGCAAAACAATGTGAAAACAAGATTCTCCAAGAGCTATGGTTTAATAGCATTTACAGTCTTCAGACCCACAGGAGGAGCACATCTCCCTTAGCTTTAATCATTTTAAACTGAAAAGATTCCATTACTTTTATCTGTCCTCATAGAAAACGTAGGTTATATACAAAATCACTATATGACCCTTTTCATGGTACTTCTGAATTTCATTTTACCTTTAGAGGCTTAACATTTTACTTCAAATTCTAGGTTCAAATGTGTGATAACTTTATAAGAAGAAGTTAATACTTACAGTTTGGATCTGAAATGCCCTCTAAAGGCCATATGCTGGGCGTCTGGTGGCTAGCTGATGGGCTTTTGGAAGTGACTGGATACTGAAGGGTCTAACTTCATCAGTTGATAAATCCATTGACAGTCATAGTTTGATGACATTGATAATTTGAGGATAACTGATTATTTGAAGATATAATTGGATGGGAAATGACAGAAAATCAGAAGGTGTTGAAGGAGAACGGGCCATATCTTTTTGGTCTATATCTTACTCTGGCCCCTTCCTCTCTGGCTCTTTCATGACCTGCTTCCTGGTTGCCAAAAAGGTAAACAGCTGTCCTCTGCCACGCCTTCAGCGCTGGAGCCAGCCAGCCATGGAGTGAAACTCCTAAAACCGTCAGCCAAATAAACCTTTCCCTCTTTGAACTGTTATTCTCAGGTATGTTGTCATAGCAATGGAAAGTTAACACAGTACTATTAATTTCTTTTAAAGTGTACTATAAATAGTATATGTAGTTTATATTTTCCTCCCTAGGGCCTAATTCTTCTATCTATATACATTTTAGCAAACAAATCTCTTTTTGCAGCAAACAAATCACTTTTTTTTTTCAGCACTGGGAATAGCAGCTATAAGATCAGAAGAACCTTCTTTATGTGGAACTTGCATTGTTTTCACTTTGATGAAGGAATATATTTAAAATGTTTTCAGCTATTGCATAGCTTTGATGATAGGAGGAATGGAGTTATCTAGTAAGCTGTCTTTAATGCTCTAGAAATTGCTTTTAGCCTCCTCTCCTCTTTGAATCTCAAGCTTTTGAGAAAAGACCTTTTCACGCACCAGGATCTAATCTCATGAGAAGGTGCACACAGCCCCACTGCTTCTGCTACAGTGCCAGGTTCTTGTGGCCTAACCCTTTAAAAAGGTTTCAATCACTTGCACATGATTTCTGAGCTAGAACACGTAAGTGGCCACTGTGGACTATGAAAAACAGAAGAAAGAACAAAATGTCCAAGAGCTGGAGAAAAGTAACCTCACCCTGACTTGTGTGAAGCTGTGGATGAGCTACAGGGAGAGTCTCCCAGCTTAATGAGATGGTGGTGGGTGCAACAGTCCCACCCAATTGCTTGGCTGACTGCATGTGTTTTGGGGGTGCAGGAGAAGAGGGGAGAGAGCAAAAGATGAATCATGTATTCAAGCTGTACACAGAGAGTATTATGGCACATTTAACTAGGGAGTGCATTTGAGTAGAAGATGCTTTACTACCGTATTTAACAAACAAATCAACAAAATATATTAGGAAGAAATAGTGACTTAATATAAAAATCAAACAGAACAGTGGTCAGCACACTTTTTCTGTGAAGGAGTACAACTGTTTCAGGCTGAGGTCGATACATCTCTGTCACCATCACTCCACTCTGCTGCTGCGGCATGGAAGCAGCTACAAACACTACGTAAATAAAAGGCCGGGGCTGTTCACCAACAGGACTTTATTCACAAAAACAGGCAGTTGGGGCTGGGGATTTAGATCAATGGTTCCACCGCCTGACTCACAAGCAGAAGGACCTGAGTTCGATCCCTGGTACCAAAAAAACAAAGAAACAAACAAAAAACAAAAACAGGCAGCAGGAAGGCTTTGGTACACAGGCCATAGTTTGTCAACCCCTGAAACAGAAAATCCCTTATAAGTAGATACACTTTGCGTTTTTATTATTATTATTATTATTATCATTACTACTACTACTACTTCTATAGGATTTTTGAGTCAGGGTCTTGCTACATAGTACAGACTGGTCTTGAACTTACTATGTAGCTCAGGTTGGCCTCAAACTTATGGCAATCCTCCTGCCTTAGCCTTCTGAGTGCTGGTATTACAGTTGTGTGCCTCCATGCCTGACTTTGCACATTAGCAATCTTCATGTAACCCTCCTTGTAGGCTACAGGGTCACATAAGCAAAGTGTATTTGCCCCTAGAATATAAGCCCTGTGAAGCAGAAATTCTGCTATGTTTACAACTGTATTTCCAGTACTTTTAAGAGCACGGGTCATAGAGCTGGCACAAAACATAGGTGCTCATAATAGAGATGTTTTGAATAAAGGAATCAATGAATGAATGAATGAACAACTTATGCACATGTAAAAGGTAATTCTGATTATAGGTGATGCTCCTGCACCACGAAGACTACTTCCATGTCCATCCTCACTTGTTCCTTGTTCGCAAAATTGGGCAACTGCATTGGGTCTAAGGCACCAAAAGTATGAGTTTTCTAAAAACTTTAATTTGGGAAAGCACTGGTTTTTCAACAGCTAAAATAAGGAAAAGCACATATATCTTGCTTTCTTCTCACTCAACTTTGTCTTAGTTAAATCATTCTCTATTAAATTCACTTTTAAACCAAAGACAATATCTAAGAGGACAAAACTATTAACTTCTGGGAACTACAAGTTCAGGAAGATGCAGGTTGAATATCCCTTATTCAACATGCTGGGGAACAAAAGTATTTCAATATTTGAATTTTTTTCTTTTTGGATTTTGTAAGATTTACATGCACATGTAGTATCTTGGGGATGGGACCTGCGCCTAACAGAATCGTTTATGCTTCACACACACGGGCCATGAATAGTGTGATGGGTAATTTTAGGTAACTTTCTCAGTGTAGAGCATCTTAACTGTAGCACATCATATAAGGTCAAGTGTGGAATTTTCCATTTGAGCTGTCCTGTTGATGCCTAAAAAGTTGTAGTTTTTACAGCATTTCAGATTTTGGATTTGGGGATTAGATGTTCAACCTATAGTAAGTTTTATGATATTTTCAAGTAAGTATTTGGACATTACACCATCATAATCTTTTTAGTTCTGGGACATTATCTTTTAAAGTAGTCGCAAGGGCAGTCACACATTATCAGCAACTTATCATGCAATGCCTACACAAAGGTAAAAGATGTCTTATGCTAATCTTACACAGCCTCAAAAATGTGTAGTCATGGGCCGGGCGTGGCGCATGCCTGTTATTCCAGCACGCAGGAGGGTGAGGCAGGAGGATCACTGAAAGTTTCAGGCCAGCCTGAGCTACATAGTGAGTTCAAGGTCAGCCTGAACTGCATAGGGAGACCCTGCCCAGCCCCCACCCCCAAATGTGTAGTCATCAAGGCGCTCAGTCATTACTGTAGATTAATGAAGTAAGTGGCCACTAAAGGGCCCCATCATAAGGGAAAAGCACTAAACAAAATGTGAGGCACTATTGTGGTCTTTTTATTTCCAAAAAACTGAGTTAGGATGACAAACTTAAAACTTTAAAATAAATTAAAGTATGATAATACATAACCAAATGCTAATTAGGATAGATTTAAATGTTAAATTCAGTGGAATCTAAGTTCAAAGCAAAATGTTGAGGAAACTTCAGATTATAGATTCAGAAGTATTTTTTTCCTGTAAGAAAACTTAATGATCATCCAACAGCCTCACTTTACAGACACAGTCCACAGACTCAATTAATAAGAATAGGACCCTTGTTATATTCAGAAGAGCATATTTTTTTAAATATGTGAATAAAACACATATTTTAGTCTATTAAAAGTCTTATCAAGGGCCAGGGATTTAGCTCAGTGGTTCCACCGCCTGCCCCGAAAGTGCAAGGACCTGAGTTTGATCCCCGGTACCAAACAAAAAAAAAGTCTTATCAAATGCTTGCTTCTCCTTTGGTAAAAAACATATGAATATTCTCCTAATCCAGAGGCTATGTACAACTTCACAAGTCAACACACACGAGATGTGACTGCAGGCTGCACGGAGCTCCCCATCACCATGCACACTCTTCTTCTGAAGATTCCAACCTTCAGGGCACAGTGAGCCAGGCACTTAATGTGCAAGGACATTTCCGTTTCCTTGCACAGCAATCAGGAATAGAAGCTGCTTGTTGACTATTTTTCTACCATCAGACAGTAGGTTGGGAGGAGCAGAGGCTAAGTATGGATGCCCATACCAACCTCAGTTACCTGAAGCTGAGCTGCTCCTTTTACTACTTTTTCAGCTTCCGATTTTCCTCCTGGCAAATTTTCTTAGAATTTTAATGCAGTTTGCCTCAGAAAATTATTTCCTTCACCAAATTTGTTTCAAAAAGTAATTTTCTAGAACACACACATTTTGATAAGGAAGCTAAAATTGTATTACCAAGGTAAGCACAACAACTAGGACATGATTACACTATGATCTCCAAATGTGTGTAAGTCATCCAGCACACACCTCTGTTTGTGCATTCTCCCAGTCAACCACATCAACCATAAACTGAGAGGCCTATTAGAAGCTTCACAATCTCTAGTCATAGGCCCTTCTCAAAACATTAGAGTCATCAAAGAATCCTGATGAAGGAAGCAACAATTAAGTGAGATACTATTCATTGGTATTTGAATAGCATATAAAGGGTCACTGTACCCAGAAGTCTACCAAGAAGCCACTAGGTATCTTGTCCTACATTATGCACACTCACAAGCAGAAAACATATTGTCTAAGGACAAACTTCAATAGAAGAGCTAACACCTGCCTCACAAGTGCAAGGTCCCAAGTTCAATCCCTGGTACCAAAAAAAAAAAACACCCCCCCAAAAATAGAAGGGCCAGGTACATCTTTAGCTCAGCAAGATCTGGCAAAATGAGATGAAGAGCTTGCAGCAAGAGCAGCAGTGAAAAAAATTTTTAAAGGCAGAAATGTTTCTGGCAAGGTTCAGATGGAAAAATAGCAACAGATCCCAGAAGCAAAGCTGTAGCCAGGAATAACTTATGCTCCAGACATTTTCGGTAAGGGAAGGATAATACTAAGGATTCATGAGATAGCTACCCTGGTCCTCTGGGCCTCAAGGCTAAACCATGACTTGTGGTCTATTACAAGTCAATCCACAAACATTTACGAAATATTGTCCATGCTACATGTTCAGCACACTGCTAGTCATTGAGCAGAATTCTGTGAGGTGACAGCAGTTACTGAGTAGACACTGTAAACACCTTTACACCACCACTGACTGAGGAAAGCATTTTCCCTATTTTACATGTGTGAACAGTAAGGCTGAAAGAATTCCACAAGGTCGTGTGACTAATAAGTGGAGTTCAACCCTGACACAACACTGCCTGACTCCAAAGCCCATAATACCACATTACTATGGATAAAATATGGCTCATTCCTTAAAGAGGCTTAAAATAACCGAAACCAGGTAGAGATCAATGCAGGCAATATAGTGAAGGGCTAACAAGTATCTCAAGACTTTAAAGAAAGAGAAGGGAAATGAGTAGGGAAAATCATTTAAAAGAAGTAGGACTTAGGTTCCTCCTCCACAGATGGATATGAGAGAACAAGATGAGTAGTGTCACTTCAGTAGGAAGGAGGCCAGCTTTCTCATCAGGACAGGAAGAAGGTCAAACCACAGAGAGCAAAGGACTTAGATAGGAAGGGTTAGTCCCACTGTGAAAGACCTTCAGACATGCTGGAGTCACTTGAGATCATAGATAATGGACAGCAGCTAAAGGCTACAAGGCAGGAGAGACGCTTGGCTGGGCTACAGAATGATGAAAAGACCAGATTGGGAAGCTTCTTATTCACTCTTGTTCATTCATCCTTGAGCACACATTCAGCAAGGCCAGGTGAAAGCTGGTTCCTATGCTGGAAAGGAAAGGAAGGGCTGGAGTCCACACAGAAGGAAGGATCTATACTGAACAGCTGGCAAAGGTCTTGATGACTGACACAACGAATAAAAAATGAGGAAAAAGATGATGAAAGGTAACCCCAAACCTTCAGGAGTGCCATAATTTCCACCATTCCTAGGAATTTCAAAAAGCAATGAAAATAAAAACAAATAGAAAAGGGCTTTGAAATGTTGAACAGGCAATAAATAAAAGCTCTGGTAACTTATTTACACATAAGCGATAGGCTGGAAACCTCAGTGAGAAAAACCATTTATTTGTGACTACTGCAAATGCAGAGTCCCTTGGCAAGGACAGCAGGGGTCTGCCCACCAGGCTCTGTCCCTTCTCCAACACACCCTCCATGAAGACACATGTCTGGGCTCAAGAAGACACATGGCTGCCCCCCGCCCACCCAGACCAGCCTGACTTTGAAGAAAGGGACAAGAGTCAAAGCAGGAAGGTAGAAACAAAATGCACAGGGTTGCTGTAAAGCTGGGCCTTCGGGGTGAGGAATGTCACAGAATGTCATTTTAAATTAAAAAAAAAAACAGCACTGCTCTCATTTCTACACCTGCTTCCTATGATTTTACAATTCTTGGTCCTCAGATAGGAAGGCCTTAAAGATTCTTTACCAAATTGTTGCTCTTTGTTCAGAAACTATTTCAAACGTGCATATTTATGCATATATTAATTTCTAGCACAGTTAAGCATATGGTTAAGGCACAAATACTTCTCTTATAAGTGGACTACACAAATTTTAAGCTCATTTAAATCTTATATTCAGCCATGGCTCATTCACTATAGAGGGACACCCTTGCTCACTGGAAAATAAAAACTGTAATGGTATCTCAAACTTCTATTACTATAAAGAGAGCCCCAGGCCAGAAAAAAAAAGCGTCAATACCTTAGAGAAATCCAGTCCGGAATTCAAAATTCAGGGTGGTATGGCCTCGGCTTAGCCCAGCTTTAGCAAAGCAGTCTTTATTGAAGTGTAACTGGAAATGAATGCTCTTTCTGCAGAAAGATGTATTAAACTACCTTCTATGTAAGATCTTAGTGTCAAAGTCAAACTCGCAAAGGTTAACATTACAAAAGAAACAATTGTTCTGGAAAATCAACATCCTTCCCAAAACATGCACTCAGATTAGTAATAAAGAGCAGATAGAAATCCAAAGCAGAAAAGAAAGCCCATGAAACATTGTCGCAATAAGTGTACAAGGGTTCTTGCTCAGATCCCTGCGGGACAGCCGAGGGCCTTCTTAGGATCGAGTCCTCAACGTTCCCCCCCCCCCCCCCCACACACCCGGGGCTTCGGCTGGCTAAGATCTGCCCCTCTACCGGACTACACGGTAAACACACCCTTCTAAAGCCTGCAGGCTCAGAGTTTTCATGGCACGAAGGAGATCCCCACACGACAGCGGCTTCAGAAAACTACAGGCTGGCAGCCTCCTCCTGTGCCCGGATCCTCGCTGAGGCCACCGAACAGGGGTCCTGGAGCCCCAGCCCGGCCCACCGCGTGACCGCCACCCTGATCCCGGAGCCTACTCACCGGCAAGGCGAGCACTGACGGGGCCGCCCCCTGGGGAGCAGCTCGGCAGCCACCGGGGCGGCGCTGGACTCGGCGATCGCGACTAGTTATAGCCACGGGCTCCCGGCGGGGACGCCCGCCAGCTCCGGCGAGGGGCCCGGGCCGAGCGGTGCACGGCAGTGCGGCAGGAAGCCGGCCACACTCCGGCCTCCGGCAGGAAAACAAACAAAAGGCAGGGTGGCTTCTAGCGGACAACCAGCCGCTCTCCCTGGAAAAATTACCCTGCAGCTCCCCTCGCCGGCCCAGCGCGTCCCTGCAGCGTCCAGCTTGGCTTGGGAGCCCTGAGCGCAACCACCGCCCAGGTTGGCAGGGGCCACCGCGCCCCCCAAGACTGGGAGGTGGGGACGTCCGAGCACTTAGCACGCGCCTAGGGAAAGGTAAAATTTCCTGGCTTCAAAAACGTACCCGAGATTACATGACGTTGGGGATGTTACCAGTGTCATTGAATTGTACAATCAATAATGTTTAAAATGGCAAATTTTATCTGTAGTACAACAGAAAACATCTTTAGAATAAAACCACAACCTGTAGATGTTCATTTGAACATTTAAGAGTTTTTAATATCGTTAGCAACTTAAGTTTGAAAGACTGGACTCTTACCCAGGTGGGAAACTGGCTAGATAACCTCTTACAAGAGTCCTTTCTATGTAATTAGTTATATGAAATCTGACACTGAACATCTACCTTTTAAACACACTTTTATCATAAATTATATGATAGATTTGGCCTTAAATCTTTATGAGGCTTGACTGTCAAGCACTTTGGGAAGGAGGGTGCAAACCTGCTTCCCAGTCCCTAGTTTAAATTTACACTACTTCTGTAAGCCAATGAGTCTCAAGCATTTCAGGAGCATCAGTCACCTGGGGAGCTATCTAAACCAATTACCCAACACACATTGCAGCTTCCAGCACCATTCTGCTGGTGAAGGTGTCACACTGCCCTAAGTACACAATTTTAATTCTTAAATCAGTAACCCTTTAACACTTTGGGGATCCTTCTCTGAGTTTAAATTTCCCAGCTCATCACCATATCAAGTTTTTTAAACGTCTCTTTTCTGAAGCTAAAGACTGAACATTGTTCTTTTTTCCAGAAAGAATCTTACCAAAGACTGGAATTCCTCTCTTGCTCCTTTTCTCTCCCAAAAGGGAAAGGATTCCCTGGCTACTTGGCAAATATATAACACTTATCTACCTTTGTATTTACCTATATAACAGCCCAGCTATATGGCAAATAAAAATTGCAAATCATCAGTAAAAAGAATAGGGAATCAAGGAGCCTAGAAAATCATGCCTTACTACCATAAAAAGCAATTTTTAAAGTAACTAAAATGAACAGTTTCAGTAAAATTCAGTTGTCTAAACCAGTATACCAGGCAAGTAGAGGGAGTGTCCTGGTCTACATTTAGTAAGGGTCCACTGCGCTAGCAAGTAGGTAAATATTTTTGATCCTGGGAGAATTAAAAGCCTGCAAATATAATATGATAATATCTAATATAATATAGCCCTGTAATAAGCACTATTGGATTCAGTGGACCTGATTAAAATAGAAAGTTAGTAGCTGTGGAGCATGCCATGTTTTGGTATTGAGTACTCAACTTACCTTTTCAAATATTATTTTATTAAGCTTATTTTTTGATTACTTGCTAGAATAATAGAAAGCTTCAGAGCTAAAGGGCCAGGATACTTCAAGTAAGCATTCAATACTGTCAATGGCCGGGGATTTAGCTCAGTGGTTCCACTGCCTGCCTCGAAAGTGCAAGATTCTGAGTTTGATCCCCGGTACCCCCCCAAAAAAAAACCCAAAAAAACCCCACTGTCAATGAGCAGACTGTTCTGAAGCAATTTAAACCATCCTCTGCAAAGCTGATCTTTAGAATTCCAGAGGCACATATATCCATAGTTAACTCTTTTCCTCCATTTAAATTGCAAAATCCAATTTTAAAAGGATCATTGGGAGAAACTTTTCCTTAAAAGACCTAAATCCTAGAGTCTCTTTTAGAGAGTATTAAATTGTTGGCCTCCATTAAAGATATAAGTATTTTTATGGTAGCTGATTTAGGGTGCAAATAAAAACCAATCCGAAGGGTGTCCTAGAATGAAAAATATAGCATTTGGATTACCTTGCGGCAGTTCATTCGCCGACACCCCCACTTTTAGCTCTGTGCCGAAAATGTAATGAATTTCTAAAAACTCCAGAATAAAATAATGGATTAGAAATTTAAATTCTAAATGAATGTGGGGTCTTGGAATCCTGATGACTATTAGTCCCTGGCACTTGGAGAAACTTTAGACATTCGGTAGATGTTTGCTCAATGAAGGTAATAAGTTGTGACGCCTGTATGCTTCCACAGAACTTGAAAACCTTTGGTGAAAAAGATTAAAAATGTTAAGTCAGAGAGCCATTCCTTGACAAGAAATCGGGTGTTTGGTCTTTAAAAGACAGGGCAGGGCCTGCACATAAATTTCCGGCGCTCTACGTGGATCCGAAGACTACAAATCCCACAGCGCCTCGCGGGCGCTACCTCCGAGACTCAGGCTCCCGAGCCCCGGAGCCGCACGGACCACCGCATTGCATCCTGGGCCCTGTAGTGAGATGTTCCTTGCGTCTCACTGTTTTCATACTCCCCTTGCTGCGCACGCAAGCATGTCCTTTCCACAATTTCGGGCCTGTGCGCCTGAATTTAATCTTTATAACCACCTGTGACATCGAATTTTGCTGCTCCCCTACATTCCGGGCGCGGCATTTAAGAATCCCCAACACCGTGTAGCGACCGTCTCGAGCGTCCGGTTCTAGTGTCCTGAGGGCGGCTTGGCTCAAGGCCCAGCTCTAAGCTTGGGTCGAAATATCTTTGAGGTACCGCCTGCTCCTGTCTGCCCCGGGGCTCACTAGGCCGGACATGGGATCGAGTGAAAGGTCCCCGAACCACCGGCCCTGTCCGTCGCAGGTTGCACGCTGGGGGTGCAGTGCGGCACCGCGCATGCTCCAGGCGTGGCCAGCGCAGTCCCGCAGCGCGCAGCTCAGCCGCCGCGTCCGGTCTCCTGCAGGGCCGCGCTTCAGCTACCTCCGCTCGGCCTCCGCGCACCTGGCGCCCTCCTGCAGCTCCAGGCCCGGGCCGCCGCCTGCGTCGGCCCCCTGCCTCGCGAAGATGGCTGCTGTCCGCCGGGCCCGCAGTTACTGCCGCTGCTTGGTGCGCTTCTCCGACCGAGAACTCTGCTAAGCCCCGCTGCGGGAGACGGGCAGGAGTAGACACCGGACACCGCACCCTCCCCGGGGAGTGGTGCCGAAGGCGCGGAGAGCCCGCCACCCGGCAGGCCGGCCCGCAAGCATGGTAACTTGGGGACAGCCCGGGGCCTGCAGGACAGGGTGCGGGATGCGGGCGGGACCGGCCCTGCGGTGAAGGTCTGGGGAAGCGGGGAGCACCGCGACCACAGGGCCTCGGCCGGAGAGGGAGCGGAGGATGCTGGTCCTCACTGCTCCCAAGGCTTGCTTCCTGCTGGACCCCAGCCGGATCCGATGTGGGGAGACAGGGTTTGCAGGACAGCTGAGAAAAATGCCGTTTCTCTGCTTACTGAGGACGCTGAGCCGGCCTCGCCCCTCTCAAGGTTTGTTTGTTTTGTTTTTTTACCCCATAAGCAGCGAGCATGGTTTAATGGGAGCCGTCCTAGCCTCTGTTCTAGGGAGGGAATCTTGGCCAAGAGAGACACTTGTTGATTGCTCTTCTGGAAAGCGAGGCCCTGCAGAAGCCCTGTGCTTAGGCGCACCTGACCATGAGGCGTCAATGCCCAGGGTAGGATGTTGGCTGGTGATTCCCGCGGAATGGGGCTAGAGGGATCCTGTCTCACTTTATAGCAGTGACAGCTTGAGCCATATCTCAGCTGTACAAATGGAGAGACTGAGTTCAGCTTCGGGGTCTGAAAGAATAGATTCCCTGAGGCCATAGTGTAGTGTGTGTAGTCCTTAGCCTATGCCTTGCTCTGGTATCCAGTAAATTGTACACTAAGAAATTAATTGCTAAGGAGGGCTGAGTGAATCAAGAATGAACTAATACCAAACTATCTCATACAAGACTCTCAGATACTTATTGAATAAGCAAATGACTGAATATTTCATGTAGCTAGTCTGGACACTATAAAAAAGCACCAATTGATTTTGCTTCTAACTTTCAGAAGTAGTTCTTAGGCCAGCATTGAGCACTTAACTTTTATATTTAATTAATTCTTACTGTGAAACAAGAGTAAAACGAAGATGTAAGCTACCCCCAAACACTTGCTACCTAAGTGAAAGGTAATACTTATTGGATGGAACTCAGTTGAGGAAAAAAGTGAAGCTGAGAGCTGAGTGCTTGTTTCAAGTGATATTTATGTCGACCAAATGTCATAAATCCCAGATTTCTTGTTTCTGTGATCATACTGTCTAAAATCAAGATGTCATGCTGAGTTAGCCGACTATTCTAACAGAAACAGGGGACATGGACTATATTGTCTTGTTACGGATTTTTTATTTACTCATCTTTGACTTATACAGTATTTATATCAGTATAATGTATATCACATGACATTTTATTTGATAATTCAATTTTTTGCACACCTGTTTTATCGGACTAGCATAGTGCTAACCATGTTTGTAACGTGATTTGTGATAAACTTAATTGTGAAATATCCCATCAGAAAAGGGACCAGAGAATTCACCGACTCTCTTCACAAAAACCTCTTTTTTTTTTTAAGGAGATAGCTGAGGTCTAGGTGGACCTTTATTACAAAACAAGCAACATGTTTGGTTACAAAGATGACTAAGATGTGTTTCCTGTTCTTATGCATTAACTCTAATGAAAGAAACAAAAGTCTCGGTGCAAGTGTTAGAGTCACACAAAAGATGGAAAGGAGTGGAAAATGCTTTTGACAGAAATGAGCTGAATCTTGAAGGTTAAGTAGAAGCTGATAAGTGAGAAAGGTGGCATTTCAGATGGAGAGAGCAAGCAGTGGATGCAGGAGCACCAGCTAGAGAGAGGAGTGGAAGCTCTTCAGACGAAGTCATTTTAGTCATCACTGCTAGATGAAAAGTTGAAAGGTTAAATTACTAAGGCTACTCTACATGACTTGGGTCCTTTCGAATTGGCTGTGCTTAGAGTTTACAGTAATAAATCATACTCTTACCTGAGAAGAGAAAGAAATATAACTCCTAATAAATCATACTCTTGTTTGAGAAGAGAAAGAAATATAACTCCTCACTGGGATCTGTACATTAAGTCTTAACGTATTTCTGTTACAGTGATATTCTTAGTAGATGCATTAGTCAGTTTCCCATTACTATAATAGTGACACCACACTGGGAACCAACCCTTTAACACCTGTACTGTATACAAAATCATACCAGTAGGAGAAGCTCCTAGCTTACACTAACTGACTCACTCATTTATTCCTTCATTGATTTAGCCTTTACTGTTGACAAACATTTTCCCCGGTACTATTTCAGATGTTAAAGGCACTCTGGCAGTGAGTCTGGCTGCTAGAGATAAGATAGGAAGCAAGCCTGTAATGCATTGCAAGTACAGTACATGTGTGTTTACTGTGTTAAAAAATCTGTGTTAAGTATTTTGTCCCTGGGAGTAAATTACAGCTAAAACTTGCCGTCTTGGAACTAGGTAAAATTGGCTTTATTGTTGTTATTTCTAGCAAACCTTTAAGGTCAGTTCTGTGATTGCTACATTTCTGCATAGGACAGAATACATTAAGTGTTGAGCAAGTCCTGTTTGCTTAATAACTATTAGCTAACAGACCAAACTGAGACACCATTTCACTGTAACTGGAAGGTAGGAGTCATTTTAATTTAGCAAGCATTTATTGAGATAAAAGAATAAAATGGACGGGGTCTAACCAAATCCCAAAGCCACACACATCATTTTAGTCCAGCTTATTCTGTCTACCTTAAGCCACCCTAATATCTAGAAATGGAATTTATAAGAAAAAGTGAATGGGTTTCTTGATAAAACCATTCACTGTTGCAAGTCTTTAATGAATTTTCCTAGAACATTAAAAATATTAATAAACAAGTAATTTGTATGAAGCACATTTAATACACTTGATCTTAGCCAAAAGGCTGAGAAGCGATGAAGCACATTTAATGTCAGTTTTTATTAACGAAGGAGCACCTTTCTGTGGACTGTAGGCTTTTAAGTGATCCATCAAACAAAAACTACTGAACTCCATACTATAACTAAGCATTATTTTCTTGAAGCAAACTTTTTAAAATCACATACTAAAGTGGAATTGTTGATTTTAAGCTATTTAAAAAATTGAAGCATCAAATTTTATCTGACTACTATTATTGAACTTTACTAGTCAAAACGATATCTAGAGAAAAGCATCTTGTATTTCATTGTCCTGAAACATAGTGTACTGGTTTGGAACTTAAAGGTTATGGACATTCTAATGACTTGAGTTAGGTTTTTGCCTCAGTTGGACTGAAACAGTTGTGTTTGGGACATCTCCCACAGTGCTTTGTCAGCTGCATTTTAGAACATTTCCCTTCTGATGACAAATCCAACATTACCTATGAAGTACTCAAGAAAGGAAAATAAAAATCTTACTAGAATTTAACTAAGATTATAAGATTACTAGCATCTCTCTAGATCTAGCCACAATTTATGTAAGAGGCAAAGGCACACTTTTACTGACACCTTAGCAAAATTTATTCCTTATAGAAAAATTATTCGATTTCATCACAAGTTATAAGACAAAAAAGAGTGACATCACAAGAACTGACACAGCAACTAACTGTTGTGTGTAGACCTGACCGGAATCTTGATCTCACAAATTGTAAAATACAGTATATTTTTCCTATATGACATATTAAAAAATAATACTGTGAGTTGCTGTTTGATATAGAATTTTTATTTACATTGGTAATTACTGAAATTGAGTTATGATTACTTAGGATTAATTACAGTGGATTCTCTTTACTTTTCAACGTGTTTAAATATTTTTCTCATAAAAAGTTAAAACAAGGCTGGTGATTTAGCTCAGTGGTTCTGCCGCCTGCCTGCCTCCAAAGTGCAAGGTCCAAGTTTGATCCCCGGTACCACAAAAAAAAAAAAAAAAAGTTAAAACAAAATACACTTGGTTTTTTTATAGAACCAACAGGAAAACAAAGATGTTCTAAGAAGAAAAAACTGAAAATAATTTTACTATAAATTGTCAGTTAATAGTTTGATATACAGTATATTGGTAGCAGAATCAGCTTCATTTACACAGTTACATTAATCATATCAAATCATGGATAATGAACTTGTATTATTTTATGTATAATAATTAGATTGGTTTTTGGATGGACAGAATTGTTAAATTTGGGGGAACAAAATGTTAAGATTCACAGTGATGTTACTGCTCTGGTTTAGAGTATAGAATATGCTTTTCAGACTCATTTTCCTTTGGAAATAAATGGCAAGGTCCCAAAAGCACCCTATAACCTTCCTACTGAAGTGGTTCTACAAACTTGATATTATGGTACTAAATAGTAAGTAACTGTGAGTAGATTAGATTACAGAGCAAAACTGGTGTTTGCATATTCCTAATGTTATTTTGATTTTTTTCCCCAGGCAGAAGCTGAGGAAGATTGTCATTCTGATACTGCCAGAGCAGGAGATGACCATGAGAATGAAAGCCCTGCTGAAACAGACCTGCAGGCTTGTATTTTCAATTATAAGTTGAACTCTAACTCCATTCCTTCCCATATATAAACAGAAATTGGCCATAATTATAGACTTGTAGGTTCCTGTTGTTCGCACTGAATTTAGCTGTATTTTCTTACTGCTTATAGAATACTTAAATTATGTCACAGATTTTTGTTTCCCATAAAAAGGAATATTAGTAATTGCTATGTAATTCAATACATGGCCATTTCAAAATAAGGCTTAAGCATAACTCAAAACTCATAGACTGTAGAAAATAGATTAACAAGTTTGACCTATTAAAGAGTGTAGATATCAGAAATAATGTTTAAAAAATAGCTGAAACAACTGTTTACCACATATGGGCAGAGGATTGATAGTATCTTAGTGACTTTTCTCTATTCTAAGACAAAATACCTGATACCCACAAGTTAAAAGAGGGAAGGTTTATTTCAGCTCACAGTTTGTTTCTCTCCAGTCAGCTGGCTCCAAAGCAGGGCAGCATGGTAGAGGGGCATCACAGAAGAAATAATCCAAGGTATGGCAGGCAAAGGGAGGAAGGCAGAAAACAGCAGCAGCCTGCTGTCCATCTTTCCCTTTTATTCCATTCAGGCTATAAGCCTAATGGTTGTGGCAACCCACACCCAGGGTGGGGCTTTCCATTATCCACACCTAGAACAATGCTAACCAATCAGTGGACTAGTCCAATTATCACTCCTTTAATCCACATTCACAAACCCTTGATCTAGCCACCTCCATGACAGCCACCCATGACTGTGTGAGCCTTTGAGGGGACATCGAGATACAAGCCATAACACATAGCCTCAGTATATAAATAGCTCATATAAATTAGAAGGACACAAGATGGAAAGATGTGGACTGTAAATGGAAAAATATGAATGACTTAAATATTTGAAGAGAAAATTAGCATTAATAATAATGTAATCTCAGTACTTGGGAGGCTGAGGCAGGAGGATTGCCATGAGTTCAAGGCCAGCCTGGGCTACGTAGTGAGTTTGAAGCCAGCCTAAACTACAAAATGAGACCCTGTCTCAAAAAACAATAATAATAATAATAATAATATAATCACTTTGGTGAGTAATATTGCTCTTTGGGTTGTGAGAATGCTAATGCCATATACATGAAAGTGTAAACTGCCACAACATTTCTGAGAGGCAGATTGGCAATATGAGTAAAAATTAAAAGCATGTATTCCTTTTCACAAAGCAATTCTACTTTTAGGAAATTAACCCTAATAATGAGAATATGAATATTGGAGAAAATGAGTAAATTTGTATGTACAGAGATGTTTACTATAGCATTGTTTGTATGAAAAAGTGTCATACAACCTACATACCCGTTCCTTGTGTTAAGTAATGATGTGTTCATACAGTAAAATACTCTACAGTTGAGGTAAGTCTTTGTGCATTGAAATAGGGAAATTCAATTTTATTAGTTAAGTGAACTAATAATTGAATTTATATGGTTTATAGTATGTTTATTACAGTATATTTTTTAGTAGACATTGAATGTTACTAAAGATTTTATAGGTCCTAGTTGTGTGTAACATGATAAACATAAGTGTGGGAACCAAAGTAGTGTACTAGGATTTAGAGGAAATCGGTTTTTGTTTTGAAGAGTAGGAAAGGGTTAAATGTATGAAATAGCTCCTGAGAGTCAGGAGGGGTGCCAAGTGGGTTGCCACTGAGGACCTTCGTGAGGGGTAATTTATATAGCAAAGTCACAGTGTGGGTCAGACTATAATCAGCCAGTAAGATTATAAGTATAATAGGGAAGCAGGGCATGTAGCAAGGGTACATGGCTGATACCATTAACCTTGGCTTATTTATGACTTCTAAAACAGGAAGCTTGGGGGAAGGGATAGGTCCAGGTGTTCTGGTTACCCATCAGGTGCCTGATGCATGCAGTATCTATACTTAAAGGACTGAGTGGTGCTAATTACTGTATAATCTCAAATTTCCTTTTATTCCTTAAGAGAGTATGCAAGTATGGTCATTGTGACTCTTATCTTGGTGTCATGCCTTCTTCAGATGTGCCTCCAGCCAGTTTTGAAGTGTTACCTTCTTTGTGTGTGTGTGTGTGTGTGTATGTGTGTGTGTGTGTGTGTGTGTGTGTGTGTGTGGTACGAGACCTTACCCTTGTGAAGCAGATGATCCTGGCCGTGTTCTTATCTTCTGTACTGACTTCCTTTAGGGCATGTCCCTGTCTGACTGCCTACTAATTTCTGTCTAATTTAGCTGCCTATAATGTCCCCCTCCCTGAAGAGCTATCCCTAACTGCTTTAGGGGAGAATGGGTATAGTTTCAATCTAGCTGCTTTGAGCTGAGAAGGTGTAGAGGAGACCCCAATCAGGGGCCTTCTCCAGAGAGCTAATCTAAGTGGCCTTGGACAGAAGTCACGTTGGGTTTTAGCAGTTCTGAACTCCCTTTACAGGGTCAGTCTAGTGGATCCTGGTAAAAAGAGTCTGACACATTTGTCATTGCTTATATCTGCATGATCACTTGGAATTTGGCAGCCTTTTGACAAGAATAAACAAGTTTTTGGGCTGGGGATTTAGCTCAGTGATACTGCCGCCTGCCTCGCAAGTACAAAGTCCTGAGTTTGATCCCCGGTACCAAAAAAAAATAAGAAGAAACACATTTTTTCAAGAGATTAAAGCATGAACAACCAAAGCATGAGCACTAGAATGGAAAGGCCAATTGGGAAAAGAGCCATGTCGAGACTCTGCTTTTAAGGGACTGGAATAGTGATTGTAACCAGGGCTCCAAGACCTCTCTACTAGTTTAAGTCATCTAGAAGTCTGATATTTCTTTGCCACAAGTCCCTCCAATTTTAGCTGTAAGAAGATGGAGAGTTCAGTGGTTTTGAAGGACAGTTTTAGCTAAGAAATTGAAAACATTTTTATAACATATTTTGTATATTCTTTTTTTCAAAAAAGGAAGCCAAGGAGAATATACACAGTGCTATTAGCAGTGGCCCTCTTTAGGAGAAGGGTTATCCCAGCTTGGGTTCCTCTGAGGAAAGTACACATCCCCCAGCAGGAGGCTTACTGAGGTACACTCCTGGGATCCATGCCCATAGTAGGGAGGGAAGTAGACTGGACCGAGGGCTAGAGTAAAAAGTTCAGCTGCAATGTAGTCTTAATGGACTTCCCTAGTCCTGTGGGGGTTCTGAAGATGGAATACCCTGTCAGAGCTGGCCTGAGTTGCAAGAGAGCCAGGCCTTTATCAGCCCTCAGTCAGTGGTTGGGTGGTGATAGTGAAGGCAGTATGATCATTCTGAGGCAATATTCAAAAGGCTGTTTTTACTGCTTCAGAATTTGTTCTGACAAGTTCTTTTTTCTCAAAAAGGAATGTGAGCAACCCTTCAGAGTCCATCACATAGAGCACTTTGCTGTTTTACATTTTTGAAATGATACCTGTTAGAGAAAAATATTTCCTTTTTCAAATACAGAATGTTGATTTAAAAAAAAGACTTAAGGCTGCCCTCAGAACTTTTAAAAAGCAGCACTTTTAATGTCTGCTTAGATGATGTACTCATTAACAAATTATGAGGAGCTGTTTAGTCCCTAGGTCACTTTTAATACTAGTTAAAACATGGTTCTCCAATATCATTATACTTTTGCTGTATAAATAGTTACTATGGGCCAATTTTTATTCTTCAAGTTTTAAATAGAAAATTATTATAAATGTTTAATATTCAGTAATTTAAAAGGCTGTTTTCTTGATTTAGGATAACAAGAATATGCATGTTGGATACATTTATAATCTGTCCCAGAGTTTAGCTGCCCTTCTTGGTAAGTCCTGAAATACTTTTCTGCTCTTAGGCACAACTCCAGATGTTCCGAGCTCAGTGGATGTTTGAACTTGCCCCAGGTGTAGGCACTAGCACTGTAGAAACTCGATCTTGCAGAGCAGCAAGAGGCTCTCTACTGAAAGCAGCAACAGATGCCAAAGGAAAACAAGAACTGGCAAAAGAAGAAAAGTTAAGTATTAAAGATTTTTAAACACATTTTCTTTTTAAAATTTTTTATCCTGGAGAGAGGGAGCATTGGAATATTCAACGCTATAAGGAAGTAGTCAGTCATACTCTGGTGACATAAATGTATAACTTGTAAAATAAAAGAATTTTTCCTCCTGTATAAAACTTTTGATTCGTGTGCCAGTTTATATGTCCTCAGTACTTCCAGGTGCTTTGGATGATACCAAGAGCTTTATTCTCTGTAGATAAAAACTATTTTCATGGAATTGTCTTTTATTAACTTAGGAGACACTTAAGATTTATTTGATCTCTAAAAGATTGTTGTCTCTGAGTTTTTAACAGGAGCCCAAAATGAGGTTTATTCATATTTATACCTTTTCAAAAGCAGTCTCAGGTTCATGTAGTATTTTGTATTAATCATGTCCTTATCCTGGAAAATGTCTTAAGTGGTCACAATGAAAGTATTATGAATGCTATCCAATTGCTCACTTCTGTCTTGGTTCCTGATCACTTGGAATAGGCACCAATACATTAGTTTATTTTGCCTTATCTTCCTCTTTCATAGAGGCTGTGTCATCTTCACACCATCTGATTCAGGTTTCTATTTACAATTAGTGATTAAATAATGAACATTATCATGATGACTAAAACCTTTCAGACTTGTTTTATTGTAATTTTTATTTTAAAATTATTACAGGCTTACAGATGGAGGGAAATTCTGTAAATCCTTTACCCAGCCTCCTCCCATAGTGACATTTTATATAACAGTATCAAAAAAGTAAGAAATGGACATTGGTACAATCTACAGAGCTTACTCAAATTTCCTGGGTTTACAAGCACTTATCCATGTGTATGTATATAAGTAGTTCTTTAAGATTATATGACATGGGCCAGGGATTTAGCTCAGTGGTTCCACCGCCTCCCTTGCAAGCACAAGATCCCAAGTTCAATCCCAAGTACCAAAAAAAAATTATATGACATGGTGTCTTAGTTACTTTCTCATTTCTGTGACACGATACCCAACACCTACAAATTGTGTGTGTGTGTGTGTGTGTCTGTGTGTGTGTGTGTGTGTGTGTGTGTGTGTGTGTGTGTACTGGGGATCAAACTCAGGACCTTGCACTTGCAAGGCAGGCGGAGTGCCACTGAGCTAAATCCCTGACCTCCACACCCATAAATTAAGGGAGGAAAGATTTATTTTGATGTTTCAGTCCATAGTCAGTTGGCTCCAAGTTAGTTTGGCATGGCAGAGGAGAAAGCTTATGGCAAGGCAGGCAGAAATCAGAGAGAGATAAGGGAGAGGCCTCCCTTATCAGAGACAGACTCTTCCAGACCATGCCCCCAGTGACCCACCTCCTCTGACCAGGCCTCACCTCTCAACATCACATTTAGTTATAAACTCAGTCTGCTGATGAGGATCATGCCCTCATGATCCACTCATCTCCCCAAAGCCCCACATATGAGCACATGAAGCTTTGAGGGACATCTAGATATAAACCATAACATTCCACCCCGCCCCAGAAAGACTCATGTATATCTCTTTATGCAAAATTTGTTTAGACCATCTCTAAGAGTTGCCAAAATCTAACAGATACCTAACAGTTTCAGTACTGCTGAAAAGTTTTAAGTCTAAAGTCTCGTCTGAGATTTAAGGCAAACTCTTTTCTTTAAGCCCCTATAAAAATAAAAAAGAAAGTTAAACACTACTGTCATACAGAAGAACAGGGTAAACATTTGCATTCCAGGAGGGAGAAATAGGGGGAAAGAAAAGAATGGAAGGCAAGCAGAAACTCAGCAGGGCAAACATTAAATCTGATAGTTCCATGTCCAGCACCCAGAGCAAGTTGTGAAATGTGAACTCTAAAGGGGCATGGGTAGCCCGGCCCCCATGGCACTGCCAGTGGTTATTGTCAGGTAAAAGGGCCAAAGACCAAGACCAGACCAGGCCACAACAAGCCTTTATTAGGGGAGTAGATCTGCCGGGCTGTCTCTGAACAAAGGAGAGACAAGCAATATGGCCTGGGCAGGGAGAGTCTTTTATAGAGACTGGGGTGGGGTTTGTAGGGGCTGAGGTGGGGTTGAGTGAGGTAGTGACTAGGGAATGGAGGAGCTGGTGATGTCACTAGGTGGTAGGAGGTGAGCGAGTATTAGGTTACTTTCTAGGTGGGAACGGGCATACTGGGAAGAAGGGTTTATTCTTTGGTGGGAGCACCCATCTTGGCATGATGTCACACAAGGGGAGGGGGGCAAGGCATGATAGGAAGAGGGCAGCTACTATACATAATAGCCGCTGAGGTAGTGGGAGACCTATCAGTTATAGCCCTCTGGCTTCTCTCTTGGGCCAACTTTGCTCACCCCTTGTGGCTTTCCTCAGATGCTGGGGTCTCCACTGCACTTTGGCTTCACTCACAGCTTCATGCATTGCCCTTTCAAGGGCACATTTCCTTGCTTCTCAGGTCTTTTGAAATCTGGGTGGAAACCTTCCTAACCCCAAAACTCTTGGATTCTGCATGTACCTAAAACCAGTACCACCTGGATGACACCGAGGTCTGCGGCCAGCTGGATCAGTAGCCAAGCTTCCTTCTGTTATGAGTATAGACGTCTCTGAGTATCTTATGGCTGAGCACAAAAAAACCAAATCGCAAACAAATTCCCTAGGCAGCCACCATTGGAGCATGGTGCCCTGGGGCTGTAGGGTGGGGTCCTTACTAGTTCCTCACATACCCTCCCTATTGTCCTGTTGTAAAGTATAGTTCTTGGCTTTTTAATGCTAATATTAGCAACCAAGCTCCACTCTGCTCCATCTTTTCAGGCCCTAACTTTACCTGGGCTTACTTTCTGGCCTAACTCAAAACTTTTAAACCATTCACCTGGGCTCTTTGCTCTTGATCCTCAATGTAGAGCTGGTTAAAAGCCCCCAACAGTATTCATGCCACACCTGCAAAATTAAACTGCTCTGAAATTTCCTCTGCCAGGTTAATTAGTTCAATACCCTTTATCTCAGTCTCCTACAGAGTCTCAGGACAGGAGCAAAATGTAGACAGATTTTCTGCCAGAGCATAACACACATGGCCTAGAATTCAGTAGTCAGTGGAGTCCTTCCCAGCAGAAAACTCCTGATCCTGGTCTTTACTGACTGCATTACTCAGCATTCTGGTCTTCTGAGTTCTGACCAGAATCTCCCATCAAGCTCAGCTCACAGCATTACAGGGCTGCTTCTTCAGCAGGTATCTTTTTAAACCTTTCCAAACTCCTCCCCCAAGCCAGTTCCAAAGGTTCCCGAACTACATGTTCAGGTAGCATTACGGCAACAACACTGTGGTATGAAAATGTGTCTTAATTACTTTCTCATCACTGACACACAATACCTGACACCCACAACTCTGAGAAGGAAAGCTTTGTTTTGGTTCACAGTTTGTAGAAGTTTCAGTCCATTGTCAGGTGGCCCCAAGGTAGGGCAGCATGGCAGAGGAGAAACAGCTCATGGCATGGCAAGCAGGAGCCAGAGAAAATAATCAGGAGAGATGGAGGCACATTACCCTTCCAGGCCACACCTCCAGGGACCCACCTTCCAGCATCACATTTAGCTATCAAGGCATCAGTATAATAATCCATTGATGAGTATCATACACCCATGATCTAATCACCTCCCAAAAGCCCCGCTTATGAGCACATGAAGGTTAGAGAGGATGTGTAGATATAAACTATAACACATGGGTAGCTTTGTGTCATCACTACCACAGTCATACAGAACTTGTCAGCTTAAATGACAACGAAGAGTGGCTCTTAACAAAAAAAAGATTCTGTTGTAGAATGAACAGATTGCAGTCTGAAATATGTGTGCTATAATAAATCATAGGGATATTGGAAGAGGCAAAGGAAACAGTTTTAAAAGTAAAATGAGCAGGGTTACAAAAGTTGTTTTGAAACAATTATCCTTGGCTACAAGGATTAGTAACAAGAGTGGCATCAGCCCGAGACTGAATAGGCAAATAAGTGCTAGGCAGATGTCTGCAGAAATAGTCTCTGTGTGAGGTTGCTCTAACTTTGGGGCAAGGTTGTGGTTGGCTTACAGTCTCTTTTGGTAGTTCTTGTTATCAGGCACATTATGCATGGGGCATCCCTTCATGATTCCTCAACTACATTTACTAGTGTTGTCATTTGTGATTCTTTTTATTTAGATTCTGGCAACTTTGACATACAGTTTCATCACCACAAGGATCCCTCCTTTTATTACACTTTCCCTTCCCTAGCTTTCTCCTTGCTGAGACAAAACACCCAATGCCTAAAGTTAAAGGAGGAAAGGTTTATTTTGGCTCAGTTTGTAGAGGGTTCACTTCATAGTTGGCTGGCTCCAAGGCAGGGTGGTCTAGCAGAGTGGCATTGAAGAGGAGAAGCAGCTCATGCCAGGCAGAAGCAAGCAAACTACAAGCAACAAATGACACTAATAGCCCTCTTCCCATCTCTTATAGTTTATCCAGGCTACCCACTCTTAGGGTGGGTAGCACTCACACCCTTCTTAATCTTAGCATCACACTGAATCAGTCCCAGCATCTCTTATCCTAGATCCAGCCACTTCCAAAAAGCCCCACCTATGACACAATGAGGCTTTGGGGGACATCTAGATACAACCCATAACACTAGCAATTCCTGACCACTGTCAAACACCACTAGTTTGTACTCCACTTTATAATTTTTACATTCAAAGAACTTTGGATAAATGGCATCATACAATATATAGCCTTTTGAGATTAGCTATTTTCACTCAGCGTAATTCCCTTGAGATTCATCCTAGTTGTATGCCAGTAGTCTGCTCTTACATATTGCAGGGTAGTACTGCGTGGTATAGATGTTCCCATCTATACTATACGATGCACTGTTGAAAAACATCTGAGTTGTTTTCAGGTTTTGGCCACTACAAATAAAACTGCTGTGAATATTTGTGTTTAGATTTTCCCATGACATAAACTCATTTCTCTGGGGTGAATGCCCAAGAGGGCAATTGCTGTGTTTTGGTAAGTACATGTTTGCTTTTAAAAGAAACTGCCAAACTTCCAGTGTCTCTGCCATATTTTCACTACAGTACACGAGTAATCCAGTCTCTGTGTGTCCTCATCAGCATTTGGTAATGTCCTTACTTTATAAGTGTGGCCATCCTGAATGGTAGATGGTAATGGCTTATTGTGATTTGAATTTGCATTTCCCTAATGACCAATGATGTTGAATATCTTCTCAAGTTGTTATTTCCCATCCACATGTCCTCTGAAATAACTATGCTTTTTCTAGATGAATTGCTTATGGTTTTACTATTTTTGAGATTTCTTAATGTATTCTAGATGCAAGCTCATTGTTGAATATGTGAGCTATAAATATTTTCTCCCAGTTTATAGCTTATTCTTTCATCCCCTCACCCAGGGCACTTTGCAAAGCAAAAGTTTTTTGATGAGGTTCAGTTCATCAGCTTTCCCTTTTATGTATTGTGCTTTTCATCTCATGTATAAGAACTCTTTGTATAGTCTTAGATCGCCAAGATTCTTTTTGTTTTCTCTAAAAGCTTTGTAGGTTTTACATTTAAATCTGTGATCCATTTCAAGTTAATTTTTATATAAGGTATGAGGTTTAAGTTGAAATGCATTATTTTGCCCCTGGATGTCCAACTGCTCTAGCACTCTTTACTCAAAAAGCCGTCCTTCTGCCGTCGGTATTCATTTTTCATACAGATTGTCAAGAACTGCTTTTCACTTTTTTATAGGCTCGCGAATTCTTCCTAAAAGCAGTAGAAGAAGAGCAGAATGGAGCTCTTTATGAAGGTAAGCCTCAGGGCCCAAGGTCATGTAGTAACAACGGTTCTGAATAACATCTCTTCGTCACTAATCTTTTTATTTTTAACTAGAACTTATTTGATAGGGGATATCAGTCTCCCTATGTTTGAAATTATTTTTTAAATAAAAAATAAAATTTCTATTTTATATGACTTGTGTCTTTCCAAAAAATATTGCTGGGAAACATCATATTGATAGGATGAGTAAAATGAACACTTTTCTACATTTAGTTTTAGTATTTGTTAATACTTCATTAATGTATTCATTTTAAAGTAAGATACACTCTTTTCACAGGTGAAAATTACTTCAGAGGAGGGAAATATAAAAGATAAGTCAAGGAACATATAGATATTAATTTCTAATTTCATTTTACTAAAGGAACAAGCTTCGGCTTTAATTGTCTCTTATTAACTCAGTAGAAATGCATACATAAACAAAGTAATGTTTAGCTTTGTAATTGTGCTTTCATTTTTTAATAGTAAAGGTAATAATTAGAGCATAAGAAAAATGCTTGTGCTTAAATCATTTGAAAATGCCCCAAAAATCACACCATTCACTGTTACAACATTTATTTGCAAGTTTCTTCTAGACATGTTTTTACACAGATTTTAAGTCCCTATGCAGTCTCCATTACCTTGTAAGATTCCCAGCTCAGTACTTACTGGATAGTAACTCATCCAGTGTAATAGAACCTGGCAGAATATATCAAATTAAACAGACCTCATCTGGGGAAAAGAGCTCATCACTCTACAGTCCCAGGTTCCATTGGTGTCTCTGTGTGAAAGGAGACTATATTACATCCAGAACCACCAGACCAGGAGATTTGTTTAAAAATGAATTTTAAAGGTTATTTAACTAAACAAGAGTCAGCTGGGCTAAAGGAAGTTGGCTTTGAAGGCTAAATTCAAAGAATTCTTTTCTGTATTATATCCAGTAGGAAACATCTGAATTTCCTCAACTCTATCATTGAAAAACATTTTTTTTCCTTAGAAGTATTTTTGTTGGGCTAGCACTTCTGATGAGACATAAGAGGATGAGAAAAACATGGAAAGGACAGGAAGGTAATAGTAAAATACATCTTAACTTTCTATCATATGTTAACCTAAAAGGTTACTTTCTGAGCTGTAAAGTTTGGGTATCAGTGAACTACTGTTCAGTGAACTAGTGTTGCATATAGAAAAAGAGAATTTGGCAGTTTGTAAAGAAAGTTACCAAATTAAAATATAGTTAAGGATAATTGAAGGAAATGACAGAAATGTATGGTCTTGGCTAATTTAGCTTTTATTTCTTCTTTTAGCCATCAAGTTTTATCGTAGGGCTATGCAACTTGTACCTGATATAGAGTTCAAGATCACTTACACCCGGGCTCCAGAAGGTGATGGCGTTGGAAGCAGCTAGTGCGTATGAACTCGATAGTCAGTGATGCATTGCCTGCTGACACTTAACATAAGAGGGTGGTGCTTGGGCCGGGGATTTAGCTCAGTGCTTCCACCGCCTGCCTCACAAGCACAAGGTCCCAAGTTCGATCCCTGGTACCAAAAAAAAAAAAAAAAAGAGATGGTGCTCATTTCTTTAAGCTATGGTAGTGTGTTGAGTGTATTCTTCATAAAGTTATAGTAATTTTGCTTAATTAGAGAAATTTTAAGGTTAAAATATAGAAATCAACATTTTAAAATAGATAAACAAGTGATGAAATTTTAAAAAATGAAAGTAGTGATTAGTGAAAACCATAAATTAAACCTATTCAGAGTACTAAAATGTAGTTAGGGAATTTGACAAAACGTTAATAATGGTTGAAATTGGATAAGGAGTACATGAGGTTTCATTATACTAGTTTCCTTTTTTCTTTTTTTTTTTAAATTAGTGTATGTTTGTGTGGGTTTTTTTGGGATGACAGAGTCTTTACTTTTACTTGGTAAATGACTATAGATACACCAAATAATAAGTAACAAGTTCTTGAGTCCTATCATTTAGTAGATTTTTTTGTTTTGTCTTATTTTGTTTTGATTTGAGACAAGGTCTCATTATGTAGCCCAGGCAGGCCTCAAACTTGTGATCCTCCTGCCTCAGCCTCCCGAGTGCTGGGAATACAGGTGTGCACCACCACACCCAGCTCATCTAGTAATTTTGGTAAGATAAACTAAGCACAGCCCAAGCGAATATACTAGTATTCGCTGTTCTAATCCTTCCTCAGTATATACTACTTTTAAGGCTGGCTGCTGCGTCTTACAGGTTACAAATAACTACTACTTTTTCATAGATAAAGCCCCTGACGTTCAAGAAAGTGTAAGGGAAAAAAGTTATTTAATCCCTTCCTTTCCTTAAAGAACTTTTTTCCTTTTTCTTACTAAATCTAAGAATGTAAAAGTCAACACTGATATACATGTTGCTTGAGCTAAAAGGTATAGGAAAACAACATATACTCATTAAATTTCTAAGAAATATTAGATAAAAAGATGAAATCTTTGGAGAAAGTACTAAGTTTATCCAGAGCTAGATATGCTACTCTCCAAAAAGTGAAGGGAACTATTATACAACATAAGAAATAATTTAATGCATTTTGTAAGAATAAAATTGACTTTACTAAAGCTTCATATTCCATGAGAACATCTATAGTGCTAATCCATAGAACAGGTGCTTCTTTCTTCTATCCATCGATGTGGTAGTTTTCATGGACTTCTGGCCGGATGTCGCAGACAAAGGCCAAGAGATTATCCAGGATGTCTTCCCTGTTCTGCTAGAAGTAGTTCTGGAGGATGACCATCTTCTCCTGGGTCTCCTTCTCCACTTCACGGCTGCAGCTCCCGTGGGATCCTAAGGCCACAGCTTCCTTGGCCTTGAACTCTTTCTCCCTCTGCAGGCAGTACTGTTCAGTCTCAGCCTGAGCTTCCTTGGCCTGCTTCAGCCTCTGGTTCTTTTGCTTGTGGGCCTTGGACACCTTCTCCGCAGCCCACTTCTCAGCCTGCAGCAGCAGCTGCTGGATTCCCTGCGACTGGCTTGCCATGGCTACTGCAGCTCACAGGGCCAAGTAGATGTTTGTGTGTTTGAAACTTGTTTTATTTTTTGGGGGGAGGGGGTTGAGACAGGGTCTCACTGTGTAGTCCAGGCTGGCCTTGAACACACTATATAGCCCAAAGCTGACCTCGAACTAACAGCAATCATCCTGCCTCAGCCTCCGGAGCACACAGCTATGTGCCACCATGCCCGGCAAAACTACATTCTACAAAAGGCATTTTATTAAGAAAATGCTGAACTATGACAAGATTATTTTTCTTTTAGTGTATACAGATAGAACATTATTAAAACTCTAATATTTTTTGGCCTTAAATTTTATTTTTTTATTGGTACATGTTTGCAGTGCATAATGATTACATTCCTTGTGTGGAGTTGGTACGTGTACATGATAAATTTTAATTCCTTTTCTCATCCACTTCCACTCCTCTCCCTGTCTCCTCCTTCTGTCTCTTGATCCCCTTCCCACTTCCTCTTACCTATCTTTTATTTTGCTCTTTATTTATATTTTGGGTTTCTCCTATAAGAGAAACCATTTGATACTTAAGCTTATGTGTCTGATTTATTTCAGTTAACATAGTCTCAAGTTGCATCCATTTTCCTACAAATGGCTTTCTTTATGGCAGAGTAGTCCTCCATTGTTATGGGAGTGTAAACTAGTACAACTGCTATGGAAATCAGCATGGAGATTCCTCAAAAAACTAGAACTAGAAATTCCATTTGACCCAGCTATTCCCCTTCTAAGTATCTTCCTTAAAGAGTTAAAGACATCATATTGGGGGCCCGGAATTTAGCTCAGTGGTGCTACTGCCTGCCTCGCAAGCACAAGGACCCGGGTTCGATCCCCGGTACCAAAAAACAAACAAAAAAAGTCATCATATTACAGTGGTACATGCATACCCATGATTATAGTATCACAACTATAGTAAAATAACATTCTTTATAAGTGTAAGTACCAGATACATGAATTTCTGAAAGAAATTGTGTTTCATTGTATAGATGCCAGTTGTATCAATGTCATGATGTAGCATTGATGATCTAATATGGATGGAGATCAAGAGAACATACTTTTAAGCTACTGCTCTTGAAACTATTTGCAAGACAATTATGAAACTGTTTTGGCCAACTTCCTATATCCTCCAAGGCCCATTTTGTTAGTACTTGTGTTAGAAGGGAAGAGTGTTTGTATCCATGAGAGAATGTCAGGTTCAAATGGGTATTACAAGCCAGGCATGGTGGTACACACCTGTAATCCCAGTACTTGGAAGGCTGAGGCAGGGGGATTGTGAGCTCAAGGCCATCCTGCACTACGTAGTGAGACCCTATTTCATAAAAAGGATGGGAGGAGTATTTTGTAGAAAAAATAGCTTTGATAAGGACATATTAGCTATTATATTTACTGTCATGCAGTAATTGTTACATTTGTCATAGGCTTATTGCCAGTGTCTTTAAGCTATACATATGTCTGTTCACATTCAAGAGGTACGTAAGGCATATTATAAACATGCAGTGAAGTCAGTGTTAATTGCCTGTTTAAACTTTTCGGCTAATATTTATACCAAATTAGAGTTAGTAACTTTCAGTAGTTTATACCCAAAATGAATCATTTGGACTTTTTTTTCTAAATATTCTATAAATTTGGGTAGAGTTACTTAGACTGAGCTCTTAGCATGTTTTGTAAGTGTCAGGTGCTATTAAGGAACATTGACTTAAAACCTTCAAGAAGCATTTGTTGGGCCAGGGATTTAGCTCAGTGGTTCAGCTGCCTGCCTCGAAAGTGCAAGGTCCCAAGTTCGATCCTTGGTACCAAAAAAAAAAAAAAAAAAAATTTGTTGGCTAGGTATATAACTCAGTTGTAGAATGCTTGCCTAACAAGCATGAGACCCTGGATTCAATCCCCAGTACCGAAAGAAAAGACATTGTTTTCTGTCCCATTTCTCTATACAAACCCAGATGTTTTGAAAGTTCTTTATGGATGCAGTTATTTTTTTTATTACCAGATCTGGAAAGTTTCTTCAGTGAGGTTCTATTTATTGCCTTTTCCTGTAAAATGTTACAGACTAGCCATAAGTTCATCTAGCCTCAACTACACTTGTTTTTCATTGTACTATAAAAAGCCCTTCTTTTTTCCTAACTTCATTCTCATCCAAGCCTTTTATAATTTTGATCATTATTAAGATTAACTTCAGCAAACATGGAATGCTAGACATTTTTTCAGCACCTTAGCTATACATTTCCATATATTGGTAGATGATTTGTGGACCCTAAGATTTTTTCAAATTAGGTATTTCCCTCTTTAAAGGTTTGGTGGTAAGGCATATCTATTAGAAAACTCTTAATAAGTACAGTGCCTCATATGACATCTGTATATTTTTTTATCCAATTAGAAAAGATTAAGGTCATATAAACAATTTATTTATGTTAGATTTTCAATCACTTAAGATTTTTCATTAACTCGTGAAATGTCCACTTCACAGTAAAACTAATAAATCTTACCACCTGAACCCAAAAACCCTAATGACCTTTTTGAAAAACTTGGTATGATCCAGGCATGGTGGCACACATCTTAATCTCAGCTACTTGGGAGGCTGAGGCAAGAGGACTGCAAGTTTGAGCCCAGCATAGACAACTTAATGAGACCCTGTCTCAGAAATAAAAAAGGACAAGGATATTAGCTCAGTGGTAACATGTATGCAGCCTTGGGTTCAATCTCCAGGAAAGAAGGAAAACTATGTATGGTACTCCTTTGCAAGGCAAGATAAATTGTTATTACATTTTTAAAAAGTTTGCTTTTAGGTGTCTTTTTAAAGCAGATTTGAGTGTGCTATCAAAAGTCAGTTTCTGAACAATATATTCATAGTCTGAGGTGTTACACCCAGCAAGAAAGAACCAACCAGAGACCGATATTAAATCCACACAGGAGTTTATTACCAGCCAGGACCTGAGCTGAGCATGGGACTCAAGCCCCGACTGGGGGGAGACAAACATGTTTTATACACCTTTGAGGCCAGCAGTTTCTAGGCCCTCCTATGGGATAGAACTAGCAAAGCAAGCAAAAGGTGCAGAAGCGGAACGTACTGCCCCTGCCGTTAGAACATTTGTAAAACAATAGTTGATTAATTGTTTCTAAAAGACTTTCTAAGGGGAGGAGGTTTCTAAGCTTCCTCCTTTTAAGTTCATCTAAAGGCCAGGCAGGTGGGTCATTCAGCAGCAATATGGAGTCTGTTTTGCTAACTAGGGTCCTTCATGAGGCACTTAATTTATTCACCTCTTCTCCTTTTTTCAGCATTGAAGATAATGATGATAGCAAGATGGCAGATCTCTTATCCTACTTCCAGCAGCAGCTCACATTTCAGGAGTCTGTGCTCAAACTGTGTCAGCCTGAGCTTGAGAACAGTCAGACTCACATATCAGGTGTGGAGTCTGAGATTTCACTCAATCTGAAACACTTTAAGCTTAGGTTGAATTTTTCCAAACTTCAAAACTGATATAATTTGTCAAATAATTGCTGCCTAGTTCAGAATATGGTGAGAGATCTGGTTATAATTACTGTTTATTTATACTAACAAGCTTTTCAAAATATGAAGTGGAAGAGCATTTGTAATGGAGTTGTTCAGGATGCCAGACTTTTTTCAGTGAAGTTGAGTCAATAGTTGCTGAGGTGCCCTGAGAAAATTAGAATACAGGTATCATAGATTATCTCAGCCAGGGTGGACAGTGATCCCAAGACAGGCTACATGTTTTAGAAATTAATGTTTTCATATGTTAAATGTTGTTATGTAATTTTTTATATGACATTTTAAAATTTTCAAAAAGATAATGTTTAAATGCAATATGGAATCACATATAGTAGATTATTTTAATATGTCTTGGTGGTAAAATAATCTTGCAAAAGAAAAGGGTGCTACATATAAGTATCTTCAAATCTGTTGTATACTAAAGAAATAGATACTTAAATCTTGATGGTAGGAACCACTGGTTGGTATTGGGTAGTTCAGTATACTCATGCCATAGCTCTGAGCAATATTGAGGGTGTGTTTATAAATTTATGAGTTTCTAAGAATCTGCCCATGCCCTGAGAATGTAGTTGTGACAGCAGGGTGGCATGACTCACTGAAAAATGACCTTCTTTTGCAGCACTGCCCATGGAGGTCCTGATGTACATCTTCCGATGGGTGGTGTCTAATGACTTGGACCTCAGATCATTGGAACAATTGTCACTCGTGTGCAGAGGATTCTATATCTGTGCCAGGTACTTACTTATCTTGCTTTTATATAACTCAGGCAGTGGAGAAAAGGATTATGGGGGTTTTTTTTGCCAATTTTGTGAAATAACTTGATTGATAAATAAAAGCTTAAAATGAACAGAAGTTTTGCAGAGCTGTGCTATAATGTGATTTTCTCCAATAGCATTTAAAGTTTCGAATGTGCTGTTTCCAGCGTATATGTAACACAGATACAGTAATACATACTGCTTCCATGGAGTTTTCATGTGAGCTTAGATGATGTGGAAAAAAAAATTATATTAGAAATATACAAGCAGGGCATGGTGGTACATGCCTGTAATCCCAGCACTTGGGAGGCTGAGACAGGAGAATTGCCACGAGTTTGAGGCCCCTTAGGTTACATAGTGTGTTCAAGGCCAGTCTGAACTACATAACGAGGCCCTGTCTCAAAAAACCAAAGAAAGGGAGGGAGGGGACGGAAGCAAGCAATATTCAAGTTATTTTTACGTATCTCTAAACTCATTTGTGGTAATGATTTAACTTAGATTGCAGTAGACTATTCTTTTGGCCCCTTAAAAGTTATCCTACCTTTTAAAATTTTGCTATGTCAGAAATAATAGTAATACAGAATCATTTGAGGCTAACCTTTCATGGGTTTCTTGTTAAAAAAAAAAAAGAGAAATATGTATGTGTGTGTATATGTGTGTGTGTGTGTGTGTGTGTGTGTGTGTGTATGTATATATATATATATTTTTTTACCATCTAGAATATTTCTTATTACTTTAGTTCTTAAACTCAGATGCATTATTTTAAATAACCTAATTCCTTTCAGAATCTTGTATTTGGCATATATATTTGAATTGCTTGAAGTCTTTGTTTTTGGTTACTCTGTGTGTTATTTAACAAATACCTGTAAGCATTTATTCAATTGCTATCAACCTTTTCAAATTAAGGTTTCTAGCAGTTATTCCATCATTTATGCATCAGAAAACATAAAAGATTTGGTTAAGAAAGGTTATTTTGGTTATTTTCAGGAATAAAATTTTATGTGTCATCAACACAAAAAATGTTAGGAAAAAATTACACATTTCAAAGCATATATGCTTTGACTAACATTCAGATTTTAAATTCACCTTTTCCAGTCTGCCAAGGATATAAGTAGGTTTTGCTTCTTCAAAACTGAGTATTTTGGGCAGGGATTTAGCTCAGTCATTCCGCCACCTGCCCCACAAGCACAAGGACCCGAGTTAGATCCCCGGTAACAACAACAACAAAAAACTGAGTATTTTAGGTTACAGATAGAATTTAAAATACTTTGAGCTGTATCAGAGTCATGTCAATTTTCAGCACGTCTTTTACTTTTTGCACTAATTCCATAACAAAGTTCTGTTTTTAGAGAATACATTATATCATTAAGTATAGTCACCATGCTATATAGTAGATCTCATTCTATACTTCTATGAGATCATCGTATTTTTAGATTTCACATAGAAGTGAAATCATGCAATATTAATTTTTCAGTGCCTGGCTTGTTTCACTTACCATAACTTCCTCTGGGTTCATTCATATTGTTGTAAATGACAGGATTTCAGTTTTTTGAATGACTGACTCATATTCTTTTATGTATGTATAGTGTACCACATTGTTTTGTCCATTCATTCATTGATAGACACTAGATTTATTCCATATCTTGCTTGTTTGAATAGTGCTACAATAGACATGCAAGCACAGATAACTGTTTAACATTCTGATTCAGTTCCTGCAGAAATATACCTAGTAATAGATTCCTGGGTCATACAGTAGTTCTGTTTACCACTTTAAATAATGGCTGATTTACTTTCTCATCACCAGTTTGTAATGATTCCCTTCTGTCCATATCCTTGCCAGCACTTGTTGTCTTTAGCCTTTTTGATAATAGCCATTCTGACAGGAAAGAGGTGACAGTTCATTGTGGTTTTATTTTCATTTCCCAATTGGTGATGTTGAACACTTTTTTTGTGTATCTGTTGGTCATTTGTATATCTTTTGAGAAATGCCTATTCAGGTCTTTTACCCAAATTTTAAATTGAATTGTTTTCTTGATGCGAGTTTCTTACATATTTTGGATATTAATCCCTTATTAGAGGTATAATAAAATATTTTCTCCTATTCTATATATTGCCTACACTGTTGGTTGCTTCCTTTGCTATGCAGAAACCTTAGTTTGATGCAATTTCATTTGTCACTTTTTGCTTTTGTTTCCTGTGCTTCTGAGGTCTTGTCTAAAAAATACTTGCCCATTCCAATCTCCTGAAGTGTTTCCTTTATTCTTTCCTCTTTTGATTGCTTTTTATTTTATCTGATGTATATATGACTATTCCTTTCTTTTGGATTGCATTTACATGGGCTATCTTGTTCTGTTGCTTCACTTACAGTTTCTGTGAGTCATTAGAGATGTAGTGAGTTCCTTATTAAGCACTGTATCCACCAGTCACTCTCTGATTTTAATTGGATAATTTAATCCATTTACATTCATAATTATTGATAGGTAAGTTCTTACTACAGCCACTATTAACTTGCTCTCTACTTTTGTTGTGCTTTCTCCTTTTTTTCTTTCTCCCTCTCTTACAGTCTTCCCTTCATTTTTTTTGTACCAGGAATCGAACTCAGGTCCTCGGATTTGCCAGGCAGGTACTGCACTGCTGAGCTACATCCCCGGTCCCAGTCTTCCTTTCTTAAGTGATTTACTCCAGTTGTGTTTTTTGATTCCTTATTATATTTGTTTTTTGAGTTACAGATTTTTGCTTTGTGATTACCAGTGAAGCCTAAAAACAGTCTTTTAATTATAACAAACTAGAAGTAATAGCAATTGTTTGTTTGTTGTTGTTATTGTTTGGGGGTTTTTTTGACACAGGATCTCACTATGTAGTTTAGGCTGGCCTTGAACTCTCAGGGACCCTCTTGGATCAGCCTCCTGAGTGTTGTGTTTACAGGTGTGCACCGCCACACCCAGTTTAGAAATGATAATAATTTAACATGATCATGTAGTTAAAAAAGAACAGAAACAAAAGAATAGAAAATATACTCACAAAAGATGCTCTCCACTTGCACAGCATTCCTCCCTACATTTTGAATTCTTGATATTTTTCGTCTTTGTATATGGATCTTTGCATGGTATGCATCTAAGAGGCGAATCTTTAGCCTATGAAGTCCACCCACCATGCTTGCAGTCTTGGAGCCCCCTGAATGCATTTGTCTAATTACTTCCAGCTGGGGAGTGCACACCCCTGTATATTCCTACTTAGCCCTGTTCTTTCTTGCACTTCCAAGAGCTCCTTTAGCACTTCTTGCATAAAAAGTCTCTCAGCTTTTGCTTTTCTGGAAATGCTTTCATCTTTCCTTCACTCCTAAAGGACGGCTTTACTGGGCACGGTGTTCTGCAGTTCCTTCAGTACTAGTTCTGTAGGTCTCTTACTCTCTTCTTGGTCTTTATGGATTCTGCTAAGTCAGTTGGCAAGAGAATAGGGACACCCCTGTGTGTTACCTGTTTACTCTTAGAGCCTTGACAATATTTTTGTCTTTTACCTCTGAGAGTGACATTATAAGATTTTTTGAGGTAGATTTTGTTGGGTTAAGTTTGGTGACTTTAACCTTCTTATGCTTGGATATTTGTATCCTTCGCTAGGCTTGCGAAATTTTCTGTTCATAAGCTTTCTGTCCCTTTGGTATGCTCAAGTCCTTCTTGAATGCCAATAACCAGATATTTACGTTGTTAATACTGTCCAAACTTCCCATAAGTTTTCTTCATTCCTCTTTTTTTCTTCCAACTGTATATTTATAGTCTGTCTCAAAGTTTGCTAATTTTTGTTTGATCTGTCCTGCTGTTGATTCTTCTGTCATATTTTTTGTTGTTGTCATTGTTGCTTTGGGGGAGTTTTTGTTTTGCTATGCCTTTTGTTTTCTGTTTTGTTTTATGTTGGCTTGCTTTATGTTTTGCTTTCATTTTTGTGGTACTAGAGACCAACCTCAAGCCTCTGGAATGCTAGGCAAGCACACTGCGCCACATCCCCAGCCTTCCTATCATATATTTAATTTTACTAAATATATTTTTCACACTAAGAATTTGTTAGACCTTTTAAAATTGCTTTCATCTCTTTATTAAGAGTCTCTGGGGCCTGGGGATTTAGCTCAGTGGTTCTGCCACCTGCCTCTCAAGTGCAAGGTCCCGAGTTCGATCCCTGGTACCAAAAGAAAGAGAATCTCTGGTAGATTACTAAGACATGTCTCTGTTTGCTTTAAACTAATTGAGTTTCTTTACAACTGCTATTTTAAACTTTCTGAGAGTTTTCCCATCTGGACTACTGCCTGGTCAGTTTCTAGCACCTTGTTTTGAATATCAGATGAGATTATGATTTTCTGAAAGCTCTTGGTGCTTTTTGGTAGGTGACATCATCTGAGCATTGAAGGATTGGCTTTCTAGAAATTCTGGGCAGGCTTCTTATTTCCTCTGACCCTGTGGTTACTTCCACTATTTCAGCAGGGATGACACAGAGGTCCAAATTTGCTGGGAGTCTCCTTGTGGTGGATCATCAGTGTTTCTGTACTAGAGTGTTGAGGCTTGTGCTTAGATGTCCACCCAAAGCCTCATGCTTTTTCAGAGGTGGCTGAATCTAGAGTGTGTGATTGATTCACGGAGGGCCTAAGCCTGAGGGCACTAGGATTAAGGGGCATGAGTTCTACTCATCCTAAGTAGTCTCAGTAAGATAAAAAGAAAGACACTGTTAAGCTCTCTTATTGCTTTTGCTGTCTTCTACCACCATGAACTGTTGCCCCTCTGCCACCCTGCCATGAAGCCAGTTGATTATGGATTGAAACCTCTACAAACTGTAAGCCAAATAAACCTTTCCCCCTTTAACTTTGGATGTCAGGTATTTTGTCTTAGCACCAAGAGAAAAGTAACTAAAATAGAGGGCAATCCAAGCCAAGGTTTTTCCCAGATATACTGCTGGTATATGGTTCAGAAAGAACCAGAAGAGTACATAAAGAG